GCTTTCCCTTGACCGTGACCATGCACTGGCGATACATGACTGGGAGTTGAATGCAGGTGGGGCCGCCGCAACGGAGCATTGGCAGGAGCTTCCCTGGCGGCCCCTCCTCACCCCCCAAACCATGGATCCTGGCCCCAGCTCCCCCTGTCTTTCCCTTGTCTTCCCTGTCGTTGCCGGGTTGGGCTTTGAGCTCGCTGGCCTGTGCTGCCATAAGCGAGTGGGTCGCAAATTGCGAGACCCGTCCGGCTCGACGCAGGACGCAGGACGGGCAGGGATACGAGCATTTCCACAGGCCGTCGCTTCCCAATCTCTGAACCTCTTTGATGACCGTGTACCTTACCTAAAGTCTCTTCTTCGTACAGTAGTCAACAACGTGTTTCAGCGAACGGGTTCATTAGCTTAACTATCGGTCTTTCCTGCCTCGATCAGGCACGCACACGCCCGCACTGTGATTATTTCCCTCCACCTGAGTACATAGTACCATGTACAGGTATCATTGTATCAGGGCAAAGAGACAAGATCGGATTGACACCGACTTCAGGCCGCGTTGGGATTGCGCTGCGACAGAGAGAGGGATGGAGGATGGTCGGAAAAGGGGGAGTGGACGTGACCGAGAGAGTCTTCATCAGCCGTTGGCTGCCCCCTTCCTCGCGAAATGGAACTACCAACCTATCTTTGCGTACCTAGGTACCCAGGTAGGTAAATTGGCCAGTGCATGCTCAGGTACCGGTTCGTTGTGGCGGAATGCAGAGGTTGTGTACATGTACTGAATACCCTTTTGGGTCAATCTCTCCAGGTACTCATGTCCCGCCATGTGTTGTACCTCTCTACCTACCTACCGCTGCTCTTGTCTCGCACAGGTAGTGAACTTCAGAACCTCATGCCACACACACCATCCGTCGCCGATATGGTGTGTCGTCCATCCATATCGTATGCCGCCCGGCCGCCTCGCGTGATGTCTGCGGCAAGCGACGTCACCCTGCTTTAATGACATGAAGTGCGTTGTGAACGGGCTCCATTCTTGTGCATTAACCACCGCCCTGGCCTTACATAGTACCTGTGACCTCAGGCTGGCCTGGCGAAAAGACGCTACAGCGGCAATGCTCAGGCAGCGCGAGCCTGGCCAGGCCACATGCTGATGCAGGGCCTCCACTACCCACAGCCGAACAAAGCTTGGCTGCACAAATCGACAAGCACTAAAATCGCTTCTGTGGGAGGCGGCAAAGGGGCGGAGGGGACCCGCTGATGCGAGCGAAACGTGCACTGTATAAATGCACCGTACAGCACATTAGCGAACCTCTGCCGGCGACGTGACCACAGGTGAAGTGCCGGCATGTCATGTCAAACACGCGAATCAACGAAGCTTTGAGGAACACCTCAAGCCAAGCAGCACCACACTGTCGACTGTCCGAGTCTCTCCTCCGTCTGACATTGATGATCAGTATTCAGCCGGCGAAAACTCTAACGAGCCCGCTGTGAGGCTGGAGAATATCTCCGAGCAATCGAGAGCGCTGTCGGCCACGACCGTGCCATCATCTCACCAACCTGTTACCAG